GCAGCCACACCCGAATTCCCCGAGGATCCCAAACCCCGGATCCCGAAAATCCCCTCGGTGCAGGAGTTTGGGATGGCTGGAGCAGCCCAGGAGGAGCTCCGGGGGGATTTATTTGGGGGGAAAAAAGCCGATTTTGGGCTAAACGAGCTCGTTAAGGGCTCACAGGCACTTCCCAAAATTATCTGGGATTGTGCTTGGGGCTTCCACCCTCTCGTTCTGGAATAGGAGGGGGAAAAAATCAGGGAAAAACCGTGGGGAAAAGGTGAAAAAACTCCAGGAAAATTTGAAAAAAACAAGGAAAAAATTCCAAAGAGATCTCCAGGACCTTGGGAATGCGGCCGTGACCTGGAGGAGGAGGAGGAGGAGGAGAATTTCCTCTGGGAAAAACACACGGATGGTCCCGGAATGTGTGGGATCCTCGGCCCTGACCTGGAGGAGGAGGAGGAGAAAATTCCGATTCCTGCGTTTTCCTCCTGCTTTGGGAGGGAAAAAAAAGGGGAAAAAAAACCCACCAGGAATTTGGAGCCGTTCCCGTGGGTTTATCCTGGAAAAAGAAAAAAAAAAAAAGGGAATTTTGGGGGGAAAAATTCCATACATCCACGAGTTGAGGGGGAAAATCCAGGTTGGAATTGTTTTTTTTCCCGGGAAAAATGAGGAAAAACACTCGGGTTTTGGGTGCGGGAGCATTCCAGACCGGGAATGCTCTGGTAGAAAATGGAAAAAAGGGGAAAATCGCTGGAAAATCGCTGGAAAATCGCTGGAAATTTGGGAAAAACGGCAGCTTTGGCAGCGTGCTGGAGCCCATTCCCCACCCGCGATTCCCGCAGGGAATAAAAAACGAAACCCCCACGCATCCCAAATTTTTGGAGCCCCCCCCAGTGCGGGAATTCCCGGGAGCTTTGGCCCCTTTTTTCCCAGTTTTTTTCCCTGGGGAAGAGGCGGGAATTGCCCGTTTTGCATTTAAATCGCCCCAAATCCCGCTCCGCCTTTTTTTGGGACGATGGGCGGGGGGGGGGGCAGGGATTTTGGGAATCGCCGGGAATTCGGGAAAAGCCTCGGGAC